ATGGAGATCATCAGCACAACGATTGGGGTGCTAGGTGTGATCCTGGACTGTGAACTCTCATTTTGGCCCCCACAATCTCTATCCAAACCTTGCCGCCATTTCCAAAATACTCGCCTTCCTCACCAATGATACCACCAAGCTTATTTACTCCCTTGTTATCTCTCGCTCATCCACATTACCAATCACTGAGTGTCCCCTGCCCCTCTCTGCCAATCCCTCCACTGGCTTCCATCCCCCAGCCCTCTCTGCCAATCCCTCTATTGGCTTCCATCCCCCAGCCCTCTCTGCCAATCCCTCTATTGGCTTCCATCCCCCAGCCCTCTCTGCCAATCCCTCTATTGGCTTCCATCCCCCAGCCCTCTCTGCCAATCCCTCTATTGGCTTCCATCCCCCAGCCCTCTCTGCCAATCCCTCTATTGGCTTCCATCCCCCAGCCCTCTCTGCCAATCCCTCTATTGGCTTCCATCCCCCAGCCCTCTCTGCCAATCCCTCTATTGGCTTCCATCCCCCAGCCCTCTCTGCCAATCCCTCTATTGGCTTCCATCCCCCAGCCCTCTCTGCCAATCCCTCTATTGGCTTCCATCCCCCAGCCCTCTCTGCCAATCCCTCTATTGGCTTCCATCCCCCAGCCCTCTCTGCCAATCCCTCTATTGGCTTCCATCCCCCAGCCCTCTCTGCCAATCCCTCTATTGGCTTCCATCCCCCAGCCCTCTCTGCCAATCCCTCTATTGGCTTCCATCCCCCAGCCCTCTCTGCCAATCCCTCTATTGGCTTCCATCCCCCAGCCCTCTCTGCCAATCCCTCTATTGGCTTCCATCCCCCAGCCCTCTCTGCCAATCCCTCTATTGGCTTCCATCCCCCAGCCCTCTCTGCCAATCCCTCTATTGGCTTCCATCCCCCAGCCCTCTCTGCCAATCCCTCTATTGGCTTCCATCCCCCAGCCCTCTCTGCCAATCCCTCTATTGGCTTCCATCCCCCAGCCCTCTCTGCCAATCCCTCTATTGGCTTCCATCCCCCAGCCCTCTCTGCCAATCCCTCTATTGGCTTCCATCCCCCAGCCCTCTCTGCCAATCCCTCTATTGGCTTCCATCCCCCAGCCCTCTCTGCCAATCCCTCTATTGGCTTCCATCCCCCAGCCCTCTCTGCCAATCCCTCTATTGGCTTCCATCCCCCAGCCCTCTCTGCCAATCCCTCTATTGGCTTCCATCCCCCAGCCCTCTCTGCCAATCCCTCTATTGGCTTCCATCCCCCAGCCCTCTCTGCCAATCCCTCTATTGGCTTCCATCCCCCAGCCCTCTCTGCCAATCCCTCTATTGGCTTCCATCCCCCAGCCCTCTCTGCCAATCCCTCTATTGGCTTCCATCCCCCAGCCCTCTCTGCCAATCCCTCTATTGGCTTCCATCCCCCAGCCCTCTCTGCCAATCCCTCTATTGGCTTCCATCCCCCAGCCCTCTCTGCCAATCCCTCCACTTGCTTTCATCCCCCGCCCCTCTTCCAATCCCTCCTTTGGCCTCCATCCCCTCCCCCTCTCTGCCAATCCCTCCACTGGCTTCTGATTGTCCAACTTATAATACCACCTTGTCCGAAATATCACCTAAACTGTCCTCTCCACTCCAGACCTCCTGCTCTCTGGCTTCCTCATCACCTCCTCCCATGATCATATTCAGGACTTTTCCAAAGCCTCTCCCACCCCCTGAAACGCCATGCCCCAATCTCCTCTGTCCCTGAAAACACATCTAGGAAAGTCTACTCCACCTCTACCCAACAGCTCAGATTGTACTTTCTCCATTGACTCCCCCACCCCCACCATCACCACCACCATCACCACCACCATCACCATCACCATCACCACCACCATCACCATCATCACTATTACCTTTCGTATCAGTTACCCCAGTTTTAGATTTTTCCTGTAAGGCAGCGTTGTCACCCAGTGCACAGGATAGTCTTAGATCAATATACAGTTTTATGTGGACTTTAGGTAAGAGACAGATAGAAGCCAAACTCCAGCGAACATGTAATAAGCGGGTACAGAGGCAGTTTATGTTTCTTTATTAAATAAAAGTTGAGTGTTTTCGGTCCCCCCATTGGTGGAGTTATATAGTTTCTCCCGTCCCCTGTAATTGTCAGATTTGCTGGTCAGCTCGGTCTGCATGTAAATGCGGAGAAACATATAACACAATCTGGCATCTGAAATAAGAAGGAATTCCTGGACTGAATTCTATCGTTAGAGGTCTATCCCCATACACCACCAATCATTGTCACTATACAATCACCAGCTACCAACCTCTCATTGCACACCAGTGAGATTTTCTGACGGTTCTAAATTTCAACACAGGACGAATGTCAAAATGAGTCACATGACAAAGTCACACCACTGTTTTCCAAATGTGAATGATGTAATCTTGAGATATAACCGTGTCCACTGGCATCGCTGCGCCCCCAATGTGAGCAATAACATCCCGCTCTCCGACTACAGGATTCATTTACATATTATTTGGTTTCTGATCATATCATGTCTGTATCACCCCGACCCCCCCCCGCCCCCCCGC